AAGTAATTACTCCCTTAGGTTTAGGCAAGTTTTTGTTTTGATTAGCTTTAGGACTTATCACTTGTTTGTTAACCAAGCTATATTACAACCTTAAAAAGCCCTTGAGAGTCTTGCTTTTGTATTTTCAATGTAAATTTTTGGATGAATGCATAATTTAGTCTATTGTTTGAAAGATTGTTAGATGAGTGAAAATACCCCATTCTATTGTTTGAAACTTTGTGGAAGTAATTACTCCCTTAGCATTTGTGTGGAAGTAATTTAGCATTTGTTTCATGTTTATGTTATCGTGTAGTTTAGTGATAAGTATGTTTCTTCGTGTGTACCGCTTTTCATTTGAACCACTGCATTTGTTTTCTGTTTTCAAAACCTATTGATTCGTGATTCTTTGATTTATCATTTTTTGTTCTTTGAGTTATTTGATATTTGTTTGGGGACAAACAATAGTTCAAGTTGGGGAGAGTTTGATAAGTGCAAATTGTAGCTATTTTTGTATATAAGTTTTGTTGCACTTATCGACCTTTTATTGTTAATATCGTTGAATAAACCCGACTTTTATGTAAATATGTTTAGTTTGTGTATAATGAATTTTCTTGTATAAAGTGTATCGTTTGATAGTTTCGTATTTATTTTGTAGGTATTTGAGCGTTGTTGGAGCAATAAGAATAAAGCTCCAAGATGTATTTTTTTATCAATAAAGGAATAAGGCCAAGATTGGAGGCCATTTGAAGTTACAGAGAAAGCAACAGAAGTTTCCTTCCTGTCATGGATCGCCGGGCGAAAGGGAGTGTCGTCGGACAAAATTCTGAAGACCAATGTTGATGGAAGCTTTTCCTTTCTTCGTTGCTGCATCATTGGGCGAGGATTAGATGTATCACCGGGCGACGTGAGTCTGTTGCCGGGAAAAAGAGCATATTTGTTTCAGTTGAGTACGTGGCTTTTCATGGGCTTTGTATATAAGAGTTGTCGCTGGGAGACGCTTTTATATCACCAGGCGATGGTTGCGGTTCATAATTTCTTTATATTTTCTTTTTGTTTCATTTGGAGGGCTATCGTTTTATGGGGTAATTTTTGTTCTCCCAACTCCATCAACCTCATTTTTGTAGTGGATTAGCTTAGATAACAACACTAGGGTTTTGCTTATGGATGATTGGAGGTGGATTTCTCATTGACCGGCTCTGACAAACCGGAAGATTTGTGATTTATCTCTTCTCCTATCTATATGTATTTCTCTTTTGTTGGGTTTTGTACATGTATTTTACTCTGAACTTATGTATATTTGTTACCCATGGCGTTATATAAAACTTGCTTTGCAAATATTTGTCGATTGTTGTCCTAGATTTTTGCTCTGTGCTAGGGATTTGAGTTGTTATAGATATATACTGCTTAGATTCTTATCTAGGATGATTATTTGTTAGCTTCTGCACTCTAGAGATAGATTTAGAGCTGACATCTACTTGGGTATCAAAACTTAATGTGTCTGTGTGGTTGTGCTATACTGAGAGATCGTCAGTGTGATTACATAGTTTTCTTCTGTGTTGTTGAGGAGATAGAGAGATCATTCCCTTGGTGATACATTCGGTCTCTCAATTTGGGTTAGAAATGAATTATGTTGTGAGTGATATGTAGTGACATTGATGCGTATTGTTAGGTTGAATGTAACTGGTCGATAGGCTTAAGTTTGTGATGAGTAGATAATATGCAAGCTTGATAATTTCTTCCTTAGTTTTTACTTTTGTTTACATTTATTTTCTGTTGATAACATTTTCTTTACAAACCCATTTATCCCCAAACTCATTAACGAGAGAATTGTCGAACGACAATTGAATAACCAATCTCTGTGGATACGATAAATTCCCGGATAAATATTTCCAAAATTTTTGTTGCTTGCCGCTACACTGCTTCCAATAGATTATAGGATGAATAAATTATAGTAGGGCTACTGGATTTAATACTTAATCCCTAATAATTTCTCAAAATAAATTCGTCAGAAACCAATGAATTCCATTTTGTTTATGAGATTATAATGATCAACTATTAAATGGTGTGAAACACCACACTTAGAATTAAGAATGTAGGGTTGGTGATACTGCTACATAGAAAATTGAGTTGTGGGATTGAATTGATGTTGCGTTTGAGGTCTATAAAAGTGGTGTGATAGATAACCATAAGGATGTGTGAAATTTGAGCCTTGTGATGAATTTGGTGATGATTTTGAGGATTCATCATACTTAAACCAACAATGAGACACATCATGGTCATATTTGTTTCATATCTAGTAAGTAGGACGAGAATTTCCATGATCACTTGTGGATTTTTTAATGAAAAAATAGTATATTAATAATAATGTGAAAATCATCTACGTACATAAAGAGTCGAAACTAATAGTACAAGGAGTACTAAACATGCCTCCACAATTAAAGATACAAAAACACAACAACCAATGGGTAAGTAACCAAAGAAAAAGCTAAAATAGTAAAACAAATAAAACTTAAAAGAAACACACGGATAGAACAATCAAGCAGCTAGAAACCTCATCTAATGAAATCAGGCTAGATCTCAAACTATTAGAACCTCCATCAAGAGATCAAAGGGTACCAAAAGAGAACCAAAACCACACACCAATAGCAACCTCAAAATAAGGGGAAACTCTCGATCCACGAATGGTTTAGACAGAGGATAGAGTTCTAAAGTTAGTTAGAGAAAATGCATGAGTTCACGTCTACTCTACTTAGAAATCATTTTTAGGCCAAAAAATACTATTATCGTCCACTTCCTTCATGGATGTTGAAATATATTTAAATATACCATTATTATGAATCCTCTAAATAGACCACACAATAGCATGCGAAATCATACCAAAATTACCCCTAAATGTACACCTAACACCTAGAGAGTGATGAAAAACTCAAACAAGAGTCTATGGTCACTCGGAATAACCACATATCAACCTAACCAATGAAAGATCCTATACCATACTAACAATGCTAACTCACAAGTGACAAAGAGAATGGAGATCGACTTAACCATACCATCACACAATGTACAGACAACCCCATTAGAATCAACAATCACCCCTCTTTTGAACAAAATTTCCCTAGAAGGAAGCATATCTTTCAGAAGCTATCAAGAGTAAGGGAGGGTCTGGTTCTCAACCAGGTATAGAGAGAAATGAGGGAAGTGAAGATCTAACAGAAAGTGATCAGCAGAGGAACTATAGAAAACAATGTCTCATGACTGATTCCAGTTCTATTTTTCTCAGTTCTGAGATAAATTCAAACTATGAATCATAGAGAGAAGGTCATCAACCAAAAATAACTCACAAAGAAAAAAGATCTCCTTCACATGAGATTCGAAACAAGGTTCTCATTCTCCATCCTGCAAATCTCTCCCTCCATATTATCTTATTGGGTACAGATTGAATAAAGATTAGGAAATTTATTCTTAAGAGTGAAAGTTCCTACTCAAGGATCCTCCCAAAAATAATTTTGAAGGACCGAACCCACAATCCTAAGAATATGATCAGCAAATTAATGAGACGGGTCAACCTCTTTGGATCCAAGAATAGATACTCCTTTCTACCACGAAGAAGTAGATCATAAACCTAAAGTTCTTCCTGCCCGAAGAGACAAAACACTATAGACACTATATATGGTAGCAAGAATCTCACACAAAATATCTGAAGCGTAGATAACCAATCTTCATCTCCTTTTGGCCAAGGGGGCTAGATTTACTAGTTAGAGATCCCAAACTCCTAGCCCCTATTTTGTTCTTTGGTTTACAAACATTTTCACACTTGACCCAAGATATCTTAGAATCATCTTTCACCCTTTTCTAGAGGAACCTTCTTTGAATCTTAAGTAACTGCTTTCAAATCTTCATAGACATCTTCATGAAAGACAAAAAGAAGATAGAGATTTTATTAAACACGAAATTTAGAAGGATCACTCTATCCCCAAAACTGACATACATATGTTTCTAGGAATGTGGTGTCTCTTGGTCAACAAATTAACTAAAAAGTCACTCGTAGACTCCAACCTAGGATTGGCCCCACAGGGAGGCCTAACTAGGTACTTAAACGTGAGTGCTTCAATTCAATAATAGATGAAATCACTTGCATAAGTTAAAAAAAAATAGGTCTACTTAACTTCAACAAGACTGCTCTTGAAGAAATTAACTCGAATACACGAAGTCAACTCAAACACCCTAAGGATCACCATAATACTCCATCGGTTATCAATAGTAGGCTCAATATATAAGAGGGTGTCATTTGCCCATTGAAGATGAGTGATTACTAAATTCGATGTTCCCACTCTAACTTCAAAGTAATGACCAGGCTCAACAATCTTAAAAACAAAGCCGCTAAGCCCTTTAACCACAAACAGAAAAAGAAAAGGGAAGGAGCTAAGCCCTTTAGAAATAATGATGACACCTTGGATCTGCTTATTTCATAATAGGTAGTTCTTTTCCAATAGCTTGATTGAAAGCATGTGTGAGAATAAGTGATTTATGTTTCTAAAATCATTGGAGGAAACTCCACCATTGTTATTTACATGATTGTTTTCAAGCATTAGCATAACTAATTTCTTCATCTATCATTGAAGGTTATGAAAATATTGAGAAAACACACATAAAACAAAGAGAAAAGAATTCACTCTAAACTCTTTCAATATTAGATTGAAACATGACTGTTCATAGGTGCGAGTCAATCTACAAATTTACTAGCCCAATCCATAAATTAATCAAACCCATTTATTTACAACTATATCCGATCCACCCACTTTTTAAATATAGAATCATAAAAACATTGGAAAGTAAAAAAGAGACATAAACATAAAAGAAAAATATTGCAAAAAATTAAATTGTTATTAATCCATGAAAGTTAAATATAATTCGTTCTCAACCATTTACATTTTGTAACCCTTTTGCATGTTCTAGGCAATACCTATCACCTATGTACTATCAACTTTAATTTGAAACCAATTTTAAATACTAAACTTTGGTTATTCTTGCCCTTCATTAACTCTTGATTTCAACAAATGGGGTTTCAGCTTGTTTACATCTGATTGTTTAACTGGTTTCAGAAAGAATTCTTCAGCTCCCTCTTCCAAACATCTGATACAATTACAGCCAAAACTTAAGAGTTTTTATTGGAAAATAATACTTTTTCTAAAAATCATTCTTGATAATTATTTGAGAAAATACTATTTTCATTATCAAAGAGTACCTTTTTCTTTTTCTAAAAAAATAAATAGTTTATAGTTTCATTTAAATATATTTGAAAATTGTTCTATAAATAAACTTACCTATTTATTCTAGATGGTACGTTCTCTGATGACATAATCACAACTGGTATGTCTTTAAAAGATTTGGATTCCTGCAAATAAATGGAATTTAATTACATTATGATATCCATGAACCACACCTTTAGTTATGGGATTTGTTATATTCACAATTTTGGAAATATTTTTGAAAAATCAAATCATATGCATTTAAGAAATAAAATCCTATTTTTCAAATTGTTTCCAAAATAGAAAAGTAAAAACTATAAGCCAAAAAAATAAAATAAAACATATTATATTGTGCATAATTTCACCAAACTATGTGATGTATTCAGATTTTAAAAATGAGCAAAACTCATTATAAAATTTAATGAAATTAAATTAGATTAATTAATAAAAAAAAATTACATAACCACTTTAAAAAATTATTAAAATTGAAAAATTGCAAAATATGTCAAAAGCCTACCTTGATTTTTCTGAGCAGATCATAACCAGTCATTCCTGGCATACAATAATCTGTTATGATCAGATTAACTTCTACTTCCTACATGAATAATTAAAAATAAAAAAATTAACATAAACTTATCTAACAAAATGTTTTGATTCATAATATTTATTAAATTATTAACTTAGTAAGAAAAAGAACCTGGTGAATTTCTGAAGCATTATCATCAACCAAACCAAGAAATTTTAAAGCCTTAGTAGCAGAATCCACTGTAGTAACTATGATTTCATTTTGAATACAATACCACAATACATCAAACTTTAGTAAAAAAATAAAATAAAATATTGAAAAAAAAAAATGGAAAAAAAATAAAATGGACAAGAAAATTGTACCTTGAAATGAAGAAGTTTTTAGAAGCCTTTCAATCAGCATTCTGTCAACTATACTATCATCAACAGCCAAAACATGGAACTGAGACTCTGAAGCCATAAGCATTATTTGAAAGATAATATTTTTCAAATGAGATAAAAAAATGAATTAAATAAGAGAGGGAAATAAGAGGAATATAATTGTAAGGAATAAAAATCAAAATGTGACATTTTTAAAAAAGAGGCTATCATGGTCAAAAAAGATACATATCTTGATATGATAATGTATTAGAAAGCAGTATCTGACAGATTTCATCCAGAATCTGTAGGATCTTCAAAGTTTGATATTTTGAATTCAAGTAGCTAAGAGGTGTTGTTGTTTTACTAACATTTTTTTAATTAGACATGTTAATTATTGTTTTAATATATTTGAACTTTTTAATAATAGGTCAGTAGTTATTGTTTTAATAAATATATATTTGACCCTTTTTTATAATAGGTTAATTATTATAATTCTCTTCTATAAGATCTAACCTTATTTGTCCTTTCATTAAGACTAAAAGGTATTTCTTTTAAGAGATAAAAATCTCATTTTCATTCAAGCGTGTGCATGACTTTCTTAACTAGTGATATGCACTTAGCCAGCCTTATAAGTAGTACTAGAAAGTACTCCTTCCATTTGTAAAAATAAATGTCTCAAATTAATTGAAATTTTTAATTATTTTCTAATTAGTTTTACTTAGGAAAAGTATTATTCTTAATTTGTATATGATTTTCTTGCATTACATTTTATTTACCTTTTTTTCTTTGACATATAAGACACAACTTTAATAGAATTTAATTTTTATTTATCATTAAATTTTTTTATCTCTGCACCTCAGATCGTCTGATTAAAATCAAATAAATCAGATTACAGTGATATATATAAAATTTAATATTTTTTTATTAATAATATATAGTCAAATCTTGATTAAATAATCAGATATGCACCTCTATAACAAATTTTAGATTTTCCAATACTATTCCACTAAATCCACAACTAATTTTTCAAGAGAAGACTATTACCTTATTAATTCTTTCTTTTTTATTTATTTTATAAATTGTCTAATTTTTAGTAGATATTAAATATAGAAATGAATCGAAGTGAGATGTCAAATTATTTTTAATTCAAATTCAATACATTTTAAGTATAGGGTGGCAGGTAGTTATCCTATTAACTCTATGATGTTTTTTGAGTTTTCTTGGAGCAGAATTAAGTATAGGGTAATTATCTTTTGGTTTGACACTATCTAATCTAGTCTATTTGAAAAGTCTCTAATGATATTATTTTCAAGGAGTCACAAAATTAGAAAAAAAGATGGAGGAAAAAATATTGTTTAGCTTGGAAATGGTTTTTGGATGGATCACGGGTGAACTCTTGCAACTTCATTCAATGGCTTCAGAACCATATCATTTACCCACATCTAAATTGGATTGATTGTTTGTCTTGATTGTGAGGTAGGTTTTGTCATTTTTTGATATTTTTCGTTGGAATATGATCTGTTGATGATAGATCTGGTGGTTTGAGATCTAACATATAACCAGTGAGACGGATATTTAGTAGCTTGGATCTTTATCTGGGAGGACCCATTAAACGGTGGTTTGGTTTTTTTGTTGTTTGTTGTTCTTTTGTTGTATGTTTATGCTATTTAGTTGTTTTAAGACACTTCTTGTAATTTATTGACTATCTTTGTTGTACTTTGGTGATTCTTCACCCCATTTTTATTATGCTATTACTTGTCATTAAAAAATTCATTTTAAGTTCACAAATAATGTGATTCCATTCATATGTTTGAATTATGTTCCTATGGGGAATTGAAGTTGTTCGGTGAATTGATGAAATAGTGTTTGCTACGATAGACTTAAGCTTCTAATAAGATGGTGAATGGACTGACTTGTAAAAGAATTAGAAGTTATGTGAGAGCGATAATGAATTTGAATACTTGAAACTGACGTATTTTCCTTTTTAAATAGCGGGAACAGTTCTCAATAGAAAAGATGGAGTGAGGCGTGGATCAAGGTTAGCTGTTAGGTTGATCTAGATGGTCATCAGAGCTCCAGTAGGTAAAATCACCTATTTTAGGGGAATTAGAGGTCTACCTTATCTGCATTCTCTATCACCTTCCCTTTACCATTGGGCCTTTTCTTTGGGATTTGTGGGCGGCTCGGGACAGGCCCCCCTAACAACTTGTCTCTAATTTATATGACGAGGATTTACCATACACGTTCTAGCTCGACTGCTTAGTCCAAGAAGATGAAAGCTTTTATGGGACGTCATTGTCACCAGGAACATGCACATTTAATGCCTTTCTTGTAATGGGCAACGTTTCGTTGGGAATGACTAACATGTATCTTTACACTACCTCATGATAATGCTTCCTCTTTTTTAGAGTGCTTGAGTGTTTCGATCAATTTTTGATGAAATCTCAACATGTTAGTGGTGCGTAGAGGATCATATAACTTTTAATAGTTGAGGCGCATGTAAGAGGCTCTTGAAGCATCATTTTCCATTTTCTACCATTCACGACCAACAAAAGAACTTATTTCTACCTTTTTTCATCATTCTTACTTACGAGTTTTACTGTCCCACTAATTGATTAAGCTCATATTTAATGCTTGCTCGATAGTATTTTGACATGCATGAGTAGTCGATCCATCATCCTTAAGATAAAGTCTATGTCTTTACTCGAATTCGCATGTTTATAAGGTTTCCAGGGTAGTGGGATTTCACAACTTCTACTTCTCTTTCAAAATATTTTTGTGTTGCTTGCACTTTCTGATATGAGTGTCTGTGCCTGAAATTGCTCGATTATCCCATATAGTTCATATTATTCTCTTATATGCAAAGTTTCTTACTATGGATATTGCTTTAACTATTCATCGGAAGGAAAAAAGAGATATCTCAGTAGATTGGGAAATATTGGAGACTATTTCTGCCTTCGCGCGCTAGGGCAACTTAGACTACACCTTAACTAACGTGGGGTCTTTATAACTGGGGAGTTTTTCCATCATATAGAGACAAAAGGATATGTAGAGAATATGATGGATGTATTATTCCCTTCCACGAGTGATTATTCTCCCTTTGGGTTTTATCCTTTAATTAAACAACTTTAAGATCAACATTATGAATCATTTGATGATGGCCCCTTGAGTGCGTGTTTGTTAAGGACAATTAAACCTTGACCAATGCATTCAGTGAGCTAGGAGTTTGTTAAGAATTTTCAATATTTGTATGAATATAAGAGGGGTAGACCTACAACAGATTTATCTTCCACCTTATCAAGACTCAGAACAATGCAGTTAATTATACGGGCTACTAGGTTTGATTTCTTTTAGGAAAAACACTTGATATTTTGAGACTTATTCTGACAGTGTGAAGCATTTCAAGGATCTCTTCTTCTTGGTTAATCCTCTTAACAAATAAGCTCATGCAAAGATATGCAAAATAGAATATGATCTCTCCTATGTGTACACATTTATTCCACAATTTGTTGAGCCAAAGTCATTTCTTGACGGGGAACAAATCTTACATTTACAAGAAAGGGACCTATCCCAAGAAGTGGTTTACTTTAAGAGGAAACTCTTGAACATCTATGAGAAGTTTGACTATGTTGGTGATATGGTTCCTCCGGGTGCAACGTTAGGGAAATGACTAAAGAGATTTATTGAGACCCGTTTGTTGGTGGATGCTAGAATCGAGGGATAGAGGAAGGCTATCTTAAGTGACATAGAATTCTTACTCCTCTCAACTGTTTTCTTGAATAATTATTTTTAGACATCTTACTTACTGGTTATGAGATTCTATGAAGAGTGAAGAAGAAATGTGGAATATGAAAAAGGATCTCCAGGTTTCCTCTCTTCTGTCGGGTATTTCAAATATTCCATCTACTATGGAGCTTCTACTTCATAAACTTTGACCGACTACTCACAATATTCCTCCACTAGTACAAGGGGAAGTCTTGGTTTCACTTGGTTGGGCAATGATAGATGATGGCATGTGACCATCATAAATTAGGGGTGAGGAAAGTCCGACTCCCAACCTTAATCTTGAAGTACTCAAGGTAGAAAGGTCATTTATTAAGAATCATCAGTCAAGGTCTATTGATGATAATATATCGGCTACAACCATGTTACCTCTTATGCTTCTAGCTTTTATTGGCCCAAGGACGTCCATGAAGTTTCGGTGTTTCATCTATGATGAAGATTATCCTTATTTCATAAATAAGTATAAAAGATCTCTCTAGGGGGAGTTATCACAATTGGTGTGTCACACCCGCTGGTATCTGCCATCTCGGCCTTTTGACCATCTGGGCGAGGAGAATTATTCCTACCTGATATTCTACAAGGGGAGAAGGACATTCTTAAAGTGGGTTTATTCCTTTACCATTGAGAAAAATAAGTGTCAAGATGAAATTTTGGAAGCATATTCCTTCTTCCTGAGTATAAAGGATGTCGATGGACCTTTCGAGTATGCGACACTCGAGTCTAGAAGGAGAAGTTGCTTGCTCATAAAGTTACAGGGAAGAATGGGACTTTATCTTATTCACATGCATCATTATCTAGGGTAAAGGCTTCTCTTAATGAAGCAAACCAATTCTTTAAATCTTCCTAGAAAAGGATAGAAGAGCTGCATGTATCTTTAAAAGAGCCTCAAGAAGATAAGAAGAAAGCTAAGGACAAACTTAATAAGATACGTCTCGAGAACCTAACCTTGTCCAAAGAGTTAGCCAAACCATTAGAGGAAGGTTAATTTAATGCTTAAGACTCTAATGAAATTTCCTTGAAATAGGAAGATTATTTTTATCCTACCTAGCCGATCTCTCAAAAATAAGTTTGTCTTGATCAAGTGATTAAAGATGGGAAAGTGGTTTCCATGGTAGATTAGTCAAGTTTGTTTTTTTATCAGCATTCTCGTACCCGCCATCTGTGAATCCAATGAATAAGTAACCTTTATAATTCTTCTCCTGTAATGTATATTTCAGTTTGTTACTTACCAATGTTTTTTACTTATTTATTTGATATTGCTTTCAGTCACAAGTGTGTTTCTCTTGGACACAGATTTTCCCACGAGGTCGTGCTCAAAGTATT